ATTCCTGTCCTGGGTGAAAATAAAGGGAGTGATTGATCCCTGAGGAAGGGAAAATGGAGGGACCAGCACATGTCCTGACCTGGGGCAAGACCTGGAGCTCCCCCAGCTCCTGCTGTGACCTCCAGAGCAAAAGGGAGAAGGAAAAAGAATCGGTTTCCTATAGAAAGGGACATGGAAAGGGGTGTGCCAGGGTATTCCTGGTGGTGCCCATAGGGGAGTTGGTGCCGATGTCCCAGGGAACTGGGATTATCCTCACTGTTCCCTGGCTACAAGTGCTGGGGGTGCTGAGGAGGTTGTAAAGGCTCTGAAGGACATTAAAGGCTGCAAAAGACATGAAAAAGCCAACAAAGGCTCCATGCAGCCACCCCCTGAAATAGTGGGGGGCTTTGGCATTCTCTTCCCAGCGGGATTAAGCCCAGGAATTGGTGCCCACCATGTGGATCCTCCAGTGACCAGCTGGGTTGAGGGGTTTGCTCCCCAAATCTGTCTGTGGTGACAAGCTGGGGTGAGGGGGACACAGCTCTGGGGGGTGCACACAGTGTCCACAGGCTCCCACAACACTCTAACCTTTTTATTTTCCCTTTTTTCTTTGCGGACAGGCCATGAACTTGGTAAGTTGAGCTTGTGTTTGTGATGCTTTAATTCCCCATTGCCTTTCACCCCTTCCTGCAGAGGGGTTAAACCCTTCATATCCTGGGGGGTGGTGGGGGGAGTGGGGACACCTTCCAGCTCCTGCCTAGGGGACATTTGTGAGGATAAAGCCTTAATTAACACGGGTGCTTTTGGTGGAGGTGGGAGGCACACACACCCTGGTTGCTTTGATCCAGGACCAGCTCCAGGCTTTGCAAACCCTGCCGAGCAGACTCAGACTGGGGAGGGGGGGGGTCTCAGTCTAATCCCCGTGTAACCCCTCCCTCCTGTGTCCCCCCCTCTCCCCCCCCCAGGACCAGGTCTCAAAGGATAAGGCTCTGCAGAGCATGGCATCCATGTCCTCCGCGCAGATCGTGTCAGCCAGCGTCCTGCAGAACAAGCTCAGCCCCCCCCCTCCTCTTCCTCAGGG